AAACAACTGTAGATTCTATAACGGATTCATTAACAACGGAGGAAAAGACAACGGTTGATGCTACTACTAAACAATCAACAACCGAAGAGACGACAACTGTTCATATAACAACCGCTGAATCAACAACGAAAGAGAAGACAACACCCAATGACACCACTGTGGAACAAACAACGACGCAGAGCACAACGGTTAATATAACAACTGAAGGATTAACAACGAAAAACACAACATCTACAGTCGATGCAACAACTGAAGAATCCACAACTGAAATAGAAACAACTGTAGATTATACAACGGATTCATTAACAACGGAGGAAAAGACAACGGTTGATGCTACTACTAAACAATCAACAGCCGAAGAGAAGACAACTGTTCATATAACAACTGCTGAATCAACAACGAAAGAGAAGACAACACCCTATGACACCACTGTGGAACAAACAACGACGCAGAGCACAACGGTTGATATAACAACTGAAGGATTAACAACGAAAGACACAACATCTACAGTCGATGCAACAACTGAAGAATCCACAACTGAAATAGAAACAACTGTAGATTCTACAACGGATTCATTAACGTCGGAGGAAAAGACAACGGTTGATGCTACTACTAAAGAATCAACAACCGAAGAGAAGACAACTGATCATATAACAACCGCTGAATCAACAACAAAAGAGAAGACAACACCCTATAGCACCACTGAGGAACAAACAACGGCGCAGAGCACAACGGTAGATATAACAACTGAAGGATTAACAACGAAAGACAAAACATCTACAGTCGATGCAACAACTGAAGAATCCACAAGTAAAATAGAAACAACTGTAGATTCTACAACGGATTCATTAACAACGGAGGAAAAGGCAACGGTTGATGCTACTACTAAACAATCAACAACCGAAGAGAAGACAACTGTTCATATAACAACCGCTGAATCAACAACGAAAGAGAAGACAACACCCTATAGCACCACTGAGGAACAAACAACGGCGCAGAGCACAACGGTAGATATAACAACTGAAGGATTAACAACGAAAGAAAAAACATCTACCATCGATGGAACAACTGAAGAGTCCACAACGGATATAGAAACAACTGTAGATTCTACAACGGATTCATTAACAACAGAGGAAAAGACAACAGTTGATGCTACTACTAAACAATCAACAACCGAAGAGAAGACAACTGTTCATATAACAACCGCTGAATCAACAACGAAAGAGAAGACAACACCCTATGACTCCACTTTGGAACAAACGACGACGCAGAGCACAACGGTTGATATAACAACTGAAGGATTAACAACGAAAGACAAAACATCTACAGTCGATGCAACAACTGAAGAATCCACAACTAAAATAGAAACAACTGTGGATTCTACAACGAATTCATTAACAACGGAGGAAAAGACAACGGTTGATGCTACTACTAAACAATCAACAACCGAAGAGAAGACAACTGTTCATATAACAACCTCTGAATCAACAACGAAAGAGAAGACAGCACCCTATGACACCACTGTGGAACAAACAACGGCGAAGAGCACAACGGTTGATATAACAACTGAAGGATTAACAACGAATGACAAAACATCTACAGTCGATGCAACAACTGAAGAATCCACAACTGAAATAGAAACAACTGTAGATTCTACAACGGATTCATTAACAACGGAGGAAAAGACAACGGTTGATGCTACTACTAAAGAATCAACAACTGAAGAGAAGACATCTGTTCATATAACAACCGCTGAATCAACAACAAAAGAGAAGACAACACCCTATGACACCACTGTGGAACAAACAACGGCGCAGAGCACAACGGTAGATATAACAACTGAAGGATTAACAACAAAAGACAAAACATCTACCGTCGATGGAACAACTGAAGAGTCCACAACGGAAATAGAAACAACTGTAGATTCTACAACGGATTCATTAACAACAGAGGAAAAGACAACGGTTGATGCTACTACTAAACAATCAACAACCGAAGAGAAGACAACTGTTCATATAACAACTGCTGAATCAACAACGGGTGATATAACAACTGAAGGATTAACAACGAAAGACAAAACATCTACCGTCGATGGAACAACTGACGAATCCACAACTAAAATAGAAACAACTATAGATTCTACAACGGATTCATTAACAACGGAGGAAAAAACAATGGTTGATGCTACTACCAGACAATCAACAACCAAAGAGAAGACAACTGTTCATATAACAACTGAGGAACAAACCACGGCGCAAAGTACAACGGTTTATATAACAACTGAAGGATTAACAACGAAAGGCAGCACATTTGCCGTCGATGGAACAACTGAAGAATCCACAACTGAAATAGAAACAACTGTAGATTCTACAACGGATTCATTAACAACGGAAGAAAAGACATCTGTTTATGCTACTACTACGCAATCAACAATGGAAGAGAAAACAACTGTTCATATATCAACCGCTGAATCAACAATGAGAGGGAAGACCACAACCTATGACACTACTAACGATAAAACGACTGAAGGATCAACTACAAAAGAGAAGACATCTACCTCCGATGCAACAACCGATAAATGTTCAACGGCCGTTGCTACTATCGTTTCTATTACCACCTTACCTGTGACGCAACCATCTAGTACCCTATTACAGACTACACCGGGTATGTATACACACCATAAATTTGCAATTATAAACTTACAATTGATTATATCATTACCGATGTATATTACTTATAGTTGTATTTACGTTTATCCTTCAATTGATAAATATAACTCACTCATAGATATTTGTTATGATTGTAAAATGTTCTAATATACCGTGTACCGTGTACTACTATTTCAGTATTTCTTTTTTGAATTATCTTTTTATTCAAATTCTAAATTGCTCTCAATTTTTATCATGAATGAAAAAGTTTGTCGATTATATTCATCTTTTGTTTAACCATCTTAAACTTGCTAAATTCATTCCTATGTAAAAATGGGGAGATCCTGTTTATATAATCAAATTATTGGCCTATTCATTATTCTCTGAAAATCATTGAAAAATCATGTATGCTAGATTGCCTGAAAATTACCTTTGTCAATCCTCACCAATATGGTTTTATAAAGAATCATTCTACTTCACATTCCTTGATCTAGTCAATATTATTATTAATTCTTATAAATATAAAATTTACTTTATTTGGACTGAATAGCAATTATCGTAAATCATAGAATTTTAATTGATTTGCTAAAACACTATGTAATTAGATTAATTTGTTTTAAAGGTTGTCTATTTGAAAGAAAAAAAAATTGTTACCATTGGATTTTGTAAATTGTCAATTGGGGATGTAGCCTGTGGTGTGCCTTTGGCACGTCATGATTTTTAATCGATTTGACCAGGGTCATAAGCACGCTGCCAGTTATATTTTTCCCCGACGATACCTCTCATTTTTAAAAATTAAAATCAAAACTTAGAAGATTTTTTTAATATTCTAAATCATGATTTGCCTAAGTTTGATTAGTGGTTTATCTGAAATATGCTCTATATACAGTAGATCATTTTCACTAAATTTGAAATGAAATTCCGATAACCTGGCGACTACCACTGGGGGGAATTTCAGAGGCCTAGCATTTTACTTTACGCAGTTACCATCATGAATGAAATCAACAATAAAACTAATTTACTAACGAGCAAAAATTTTTTAAAATTTAAAAAACATGAAATATTTATATTAAAATCAAGTCTAAGTTTTAAAAGGCTATTTTAATGTTTAGATAGTAATTACAGTAATTGGCAAGATCGTATCTGTTGTCTACTGCTGCTATAGTACATCGCGGTGCTCGACTTGTACTAGCCAGCTGCTCAGGCTAGGCCGCTGGAAGTCCCCCAGAGTAGGTGCAAGACGCATACGGCGCTGTTTCAAAATAAATCCAAAAAATGGTCTATAAATACACTTTAATGAAACTTAGTTTTTTCCATACTCAACTAAAAAGCCTAATTTAAATTTCAATAATCTCATTATCTCTTTTATTATTCTATTACTACTATGGTTTTTATTAATTATATTATGGTTATTTTATTACTATTAATTTATTTATATTATTATATTATGGTTATTTTATTACTATTAATTTATTTATATTATTTATTACTATAATTATTATTTTTATACTATTTTACTTATTTCCTTATTTTTTTATAAATTTTTTACAAGACACAAAACATTTTTTTAAGAAAAATTAGTTAAGGCCGGCTATACCAAAATTGAATTTATTCATTTGTATTATTATTATTATTGTTGTTATTATTATTATTATTATTATTATTATTATTATTATTATTATTATTATTATTATTATTATTATTATTATTATTATTATCATCATTATCATCATCATTATTATTATTATTAGGTGATACGCTGCTACAGTGTATCACCTATTGTTGTTCTAAAGATTTGTCTTCTTTATTTATTTATTTATTTATTGTTGATCTGCTTAATGAGTGGATCACCTCTTTTTATTGTCAGGATCATCACCTTTTTTTAAATTCTTTCTTTCTTTCTTCCCACTTTTTGTTCGCACAGTATCTCAAAATTGCCGTGAGCTACGTACATGCGTGCTTCAATGAAAATTTGGCTTGGCATGGAATAGTCACAGTGAGCTGTTCAATGTGTAGAGTGACATATGCGACGTCATCTACGAGCAATTTTGCGTGTTTCACATTATTGATCATATCATCGTAACCAATTTTCATTTCTAAATCATTCAGTGGGCATAAACTTTAGGTCAAGGATAAATATCACATACCGAAATATTTCGCGTGCGCCTCATAACACGCACGCAAGCGTTTAGTATCAACATTTTAAATGCTCAAAATTACTTTTTGACTAAATTAGAGCACGTTTCTTGGCTATTTTGAGCATTTCAAAATTTTTTGACATTTCAAAGCATTTCAAAGTTTTTTTTTACTTATTTTGGGTTCCTGACATTGTATTCACAAATTTCCATTCTTTTTAGTCATCTTATGGCCAATAGCAATGTCGTACGTGTGCATCAAACATAGGGATCTTTGCGCGCGTTTGTCGCCCAAATTTCAGTATATTATAGCTGAGACAATTTTCTTTCATAATTGTGCCTTCCATTTTCGCTTTGATGATGTCATCATTGTCAAGATGAATGTTTTTTTCTCACCCCCTCATTTTTTCCTTTAAAATCTTTGTGTAATTCTACTATTTATAATAAATCGACCTCCGCCAGAGGGCGACAGACTGGTTTAAAACACTGACACAAGTATACTTCATATCGAGGTTAAACTTCATGTGCAATTACTGTCTGCACGCGCGTCATGACGTGCGCATCATTACGTGCGCGTACGTGTGCATTTTTTAAAAATTCTCAAGATCACTTTTTGACCAATTTAAAACACAATTCAGGCCATTTTGGGCGTTTCAAAATTTTCTCGCTGAGAAAAACCATCGGATCCTGCGTATCTCCTAAAATTTGTTGATGACGAATTTCAATCTAGTTATTATTATTGTAGTACTATCATTATTTTTGAATTTCAATAATTGAAACTTTATTACTATTTATTCATATTTATTACTTATTACTATAATTATTATGCCTATTATTCTTATTTTAAAATTCTATTATTGTATCTCTATTACAATATATTTATATGTATTAATTATAATTACTTTAATTATTATTCCTATTACTCTACTTATTTTTTGTTTTTATATATTTTTTATTATAAATTATTAAAGACTGGCTTTGCAGGAAAGTTAATTTATTCTTATTTTTTTCTTACATTATGTTTTATTATAAATTATTAAAGCCATAAGTATTTTTTTAATATGTTGTTTTTTTTTTATACTGGAGCTTGATGTTAAGGGTTCCTATGAAACCAGGCTTGTCTTCTAATTTGTGATCCTCACCAGGTTTTATTTTTTTTAATTTAATATTACTTTTTGTTTTCCAGGGCAGTTGTAAATTCAGTGTTAGAGAAGTATAATAGTGTTTCACACACATTATTAATTACCCTTTATGTACAATCAGTTTGATGAGAAATAATAGGATGAGATAAATCTTCATTACTAAAATAATTTTAATACTTGCTTCTACAGTCTGTAGCGAGGGTCTTAGACTATGTCTCGGTAGTTCTGATTGCATCGACCCACGCTATTTCTGTGACCTTAAGAAACATTGTAGTAATGGTTATGATGAAACAATTGAAGCAGGTTGTAGTAAGTAAATATTCATGAATATATATATTTAAATGTGTAACATCAAAATAATCCTCTTTATACAAATAACTCCAGTATAAATTGCATTGATACTAATATATTTATATTAAAAATATCAATACCAATACAACAATTATAGTAGTAATGATAATAGTTATAAATAATAACAAAATTAAACAAAATTATTATTAATAATAATAATAATCATAATCATAACGATGACATTAACAATCATGATCATATTTACGATAAGAATCACGATATGATGAAAATAATGATAGTGATGGTAACTAACAGTGATGGTGATGGTGTCGGTGACATTGACAACTTAATAATTATAATGATAATGTTTGTTTTGTAATATTTATTGCACTCCAATATCAACATATAATCAAAGAGTATAAATAGAACAAGAGAGCCAACTACGCTCATTGAGAGCGTAAAAAACATAGAGATATAATAAGAATACTAGAGCGCTAACCGCAATGTATTCGATGTTCGAAATACGGAGAACTGTGTGTGTGTACCATCCAAGATGGCTGCCATAGATTTAGCCAATCAAATTTCGCTAAGCACCATCGTTTGAAATTGCGCCCTCAATTTACTCAGAAAGTTCAGTACAGCTAGTTACCCGTA